CAATTCACACTCACACTGGAAAAATCAAGTGACCTGTAGCTAACTTTCTAGAAAATGAGTACTGCAAAATGAGGCCGATTAGTAATCGGCAGCAATTGGAATTTTAACATGGGTGTATGCTTCCATGACATAGTCTACTGCCTCCTTATTAGCATATATTAATTTTTGGTCATCACAGTGACTTTAACACAAAAAAATCTTGCCACCCTAGTTTTCAATATGCCTGGGAAAGTCTGATCTTTGGGGAGTGAGTGTGGGCCACAGGAGAAGTCTGGCTTTGCCAGCAGAGATCCCTGCATGCGGAGGCTGATGGAGTCATGAGTCTCTCCAAATCACAGGAACTGACCGTGGAGTCAACAGACCTCAAGTTGAAGTGTGCACAGCCAAGAGTAGCCTTTCTGTGTGTGTTGTCTGTGTGTGCTAAACACTATTTTGGTGAGGGGAATGCCTGATATTAAGCTTTTCACATCTAGCCGCTAGTCTTTCTTGGAAGAAAAAAAATGTGGCCTTGTGAGATCGTATTTTTCAAGGTTGTTCCTATTTTAAAGTTTTATCTGTTATTATCATTTTCTCAGGAGAAACACAACCTGAGGTTATCGTAAGGAAGGGGACTTAAGGCAGAGGACGAACCCCCTCAGAAGCAGCGCAGTGGTGTAATGAACTTGTGGATCAAAATGATCTGTGCCATAGCTCACCAACTGCAAGGTCATTAGTGTCCAGGGACTCACGGGGAAACAATTTCACCATCAGCAGTGCCAAGAATCTACTCATTTGCCACCAGTCCCAAGTTATATGCAATCGGCAAACTCACACTGGAAAAATCAAGTGACATGTAGCTAACTTTCTAGAAAATGAGTGCTGTAAAGTGAGACCTACATTTCTGGCAGTTCAACTGTGAGCAGCAGTCAGATGTAGCTAGGAAAACATTGGACGTAAATGCAGTCCAGGCCTGTCCTAATCCCACCACGTCCCCACCCTCGGCTTCTCCTGAAATGCCCCCCTGCGTGCCGTGCTTCCCATTTCCAAGCTCCCTGGAGTCGGTAGTGGAGTGCCTGCAGAGCCGTGTCAGCAGGCATGTGAACCACAGTAGTTGGTAGCACTGCAGAGAGGAGCCACTGTTCAAATAGTCAAAGTGGGTGGGGCAAGGTCAGGGTCAGGGTGGAAATGCAGAAAGAGCCACACATGGAGGGTCCTGAAATGTAGATGCTCACCCTGGTGAAACAGTGGCCTGCCATACCCCCCCAGAGGAGGAGTGGCTGACAACAAAAACACAGCCTTCGTGACTTTGTTGAGCATTTTCCTATCTTCTTGGGTAAATTTTTCTTTTGGGTTTTATATTTTAGATTTGTATGTACATTATCATTCCTGTCTTGTTACCCAACTGACTTCAATAAAACAAAAGCAAACCCAGTGCTGTCAAGTCAATTCTGCTTCATAGCATCCTTGCAGGACAGAGTAGAACATGACATGCTGTTTCCAAGAGTGGTGGTGGTGAGTAAGCATTGGACAGCTCTAGCTCCAAGGTCAGCAGTTCAAACCTACCAACTGTTCCTTGAGAGAAAGATGAGGCTACCTGTTCCTGTAAGTGTTTTGTTGTTGTTGGGTGCTGTCAAATCAGTTCCAACTCCCAGTGACCCCAGGTACAACGGAAGGAAACATGCCCTGGCCTGCGCCAGCCTCACAATTGTTCTTAACCCTTGAGTCCGTTGTTGCAGCCCCGGTGTCCATCTGTCTTGTGAAGGTCTTCCTCTCTGTCAGTGCCCTCTACTTTCCCTAGAATGATGCCCTTTTCTAGGGACTGGTCTCTCCTGATAGCATGGCCAAAGTATGTGAGATAAAGTCTCACCGTTTTTTGCATCTAAGGAGCATTCTGGCTGTACGTCTTCCAAGACTGATTTGTCGGTATTTTGGGCGATCTCCCGTCAAAAGTACTTCCAATATTCTTTGCCAGCCCTATAATTCACGTGCATTGATTCTTCTTTGGTCTTCCTTCTTCAATGTCCAGCTTTCACAGGCATGGATTTAGGTGCTATCCAGTTCGTTCCCACCCACAGCAATCTGATGCACAACACGAGGAGACGCTACCTGGTCTGCAGTGATGCATAAGGTTTTCCGCGTGTCCTTCCTTGGAAAAGGGACTCTTTCTTCATTGTCTGTTCTCAGTCAGGAAGTGCCACTGAAACCTAATCATTGTGGGTGACCCTGCTGGCATTTGAAATGCCAGTGACACAGCTTCTAGCATCGCAGTAACACACAAGCCACCACAGTACAACAAACTGACAGACAAGGGGTGGTCATATGCATATAAGGTCATTAAAAATAAAATGGCTTAGGTCAGGCACACCTTAGTCCTCAAAGTAACCCTCTCGCTTTTCAACAGAGGTCTTGTGCAGCAGATTTACCTGATACAATGTGTCTTGATCTCATGACTGCTGCTTCCATGAGCATTGATAATGGATCCAAGCAAGTAGAAACCCTTGACAACTTCAGCCTTTTCTCTATTTATCAGGACGTTACCGACTGGCCCAGTTTGGAGGATCTTTATTTGCTACTCTGTGCAGAGGCAGGCAGCTTGTGGATTTAAACCACTGACCTTTCAGGTAGCAGCCATGTGTTAACCACTCGGACCGAGGGCTTTTCCAACTTGTTTCAGATCCCTTAAAAGAATCTATGCGGTTTCTGGCTCAGGATAGATGGGCAAGTATGTGTCGTTTGTTTATTCCATTTCCCACATGCTTCTAGGGCAAGGAAGCAGGTAAGCCTAAGAGAGCTGCCAAAATCGAGCAACTCTTCTGCCTCCTGGTGTGAAAGGTTGTTTGCAGACCCACTAAACACAGGACAAGTGGGTCTTTGCAAGGTCTCAGTGGGTAAAAATGCTGTCCTTGGCAAAGCTTCCTCAGCGATGATGTTGTGTGGCTTCTACAGTCGTTTGGCAAGCCGTCACCATCAGTAAATAAGGAAATGTCGAAAGTGTATTTGTCTAGGTGAAGGGGTCAAGCCAGAGGTAAGGTGGAACAAAGTTGGATCTCACCGAGTCTGACCAGTAGGCAGTGTGTGCTGCTGGGAGAAGTGTGGGAAGTAGACTCAGACAGACCTGGATTTGAATCTAATTTCTCCCACTCCCTGAAGTTCATCTCCCATGCCAACTCAGATCTGTTTTTCATGGAGCCCCGAGGCACATCCCAGGCTTCCCAAACCAAACTCATTGCCATCAAGTTAATTTTGACTCATAGCAATCCCATAGGGCAGGGGAGATCGTCCCCTGTGGTTTTCTGAGACTGTGACTTGGAGTAGAAAGCCTGTCTGCATTATTGTGATGGAAGGGGAATTGACAGCATTTAGGTCATGTATCTAATGGCCCTCCAGCATCCCATCCAGCATTAGTATTCTGTCGTACTATATAGGAGTTCCTGAGTGATGAAAATAGTTAGTGTGCTCCTCTGCTAACCCAAACGTTGGAGGTTCAGTTCCATCTGGAAACGAAGCCACTGAAACCCCCGAGGAACGCACAAGGAGTTGTTGAGTCAGCCGAACACTGATTTTTTATTTGGTTTTTAATACTGCGAGTTGGGGGGGGGGGCGGTGTAAGAGAGGGGGCGTGAGAAAGAAAGAGAAAGAGAGAAAGGAGACATGGCTTACCTGTGGGTGTGTGGCAAGCTGATTTGTTGGTATTTTGTGTGTGAGAGAGAGAGACAGAGAAAAGGAGACATAGCCTAAGGAGGAATTATTTCAACCCTATCAAAATATACTAGCAGGATGTTGGCTTAAATTTCCTAAAGCAATGACAAAAACAACATTTGTGTATTACCATATGTATTAGTCTGGTACTTTAGAGAAACAAATCCACAGCAACTCATGTATAAGAGAGAGTTTTATATAAAGGTTAAGTGCGCATCAAGAAAACATCCCAACCCAGTACTGCCCAAGCCTGCAAACCCAACATTAACCCATATATCCCACACCAATCCACAAAGTCCTCCTCCATCTCACACAACAGAGGCAATGATGCCAACTGCAGGAGGAAAGCCGAGTCAGCGAACGTGTAAGCATCTCAGCGCTGGCAGGGGTTTCCACATGGCTGCTCCAGGACCCAGGGCACCCAGGGCTGCATCGGGGTGGGTCCATGTGGCTTCTCCTTGGGGATGTCTTGCAGGAAGTCAGCCTTGCCAGCTGAAGCAGGGAACTGCTAAGGCAGCTGCACCCTGGTGCGACCATCACAAAGCAAGAGACCCGAGAATTAGAAAGGCGAGGCTCACTGAGACATTTATGCCTCCAACCTTCAATTAATCCCACATGTGTTTATCAGCCAGGTTGGCACAATAAACTAGCTAACTCACCATAGATCATTAAAACATTTGTTAGTCCTCATTTCTCATTTTCTTTAAATCAAAATAGTTTTGAAAATTCATGTTTCAAGTTAAGTATAACTCATGAATTACCAGTAATTACAACAAATTTATAATTCATACAGAGATGACTATATTTAAGCCCTTTGAAGGTTTTAGTGGTGTTAAGGCTTCAGCATGGAGACGTGGATTTCTCTGTTAAACAAAAATGCTACCAATCCACAAGCACAAGTGCCTTGGGCAGCAGGAACATGGCTTTTCTGACTCTTCGTGGTAGGGGATTGAGGATGTTAGTCTTGGCCCCATCTTCTCAGAAGGAAAGGATGTGGTGGGTTTGAGACTGTTTGGTATTTTCTGCAGATTTTTATTGTTCTTGCTGCTAATGAAATCAGTTTGTTAATTTCCAAGGCAGTGTTTTAAAGTAAAAGTCTTCCAACCTGGTTCCTAGATTGCTCATCTGGATGGCCTCTGTGGAGCAGGCACCGCTGCTCAGCCGTCCAGCCCTGTCCTTCCCCTTCAGGAACGATGGCATTGCAGCAGTCTGTCTGAGAAAGTAGAGCCTTTGGAAATCTCCAGTACTGTCTGACAGCCCGTCTGTAACTCTGTTTAATATTGACCTTGTCTTTCTCCTCCATCCTTTTTCGTTTCAGAAACCGAATTGTCAGTCACTGCTGAGTTCCTGCCTACCTCGTCATGGAACATTTCAAGTGGACTTGACAAAGGTACGCGGTGGGGGCTCACGAAGTTGAGGCGGAGGCATGAAAGTCCATTTCAAATGTGACCGTGGCCTTCATTGAAATCAACCGGGGGGGGGGGGGTACCCCCTGTTTCCTTGGGATTAGCATTTAACATTTAATTATGTGACGTTCTATTCTTTCTGGAAAGGCTTTCTTCTTCCCTCTTTCTTTCCCTTTCTCCCTCTAAAATGTTCCGCATGGGGAAAGTGCTTCAAGATGTGGAATAGGGCCGTTGCTGACCTTCCTGACACTGGAGCCCGTGGATCTTATTTAGGGGATTTGATGCAGCAGGAGCCAGGATTGATCAGAACCGTTTGCTGGGTGACCCTTTCCACGGAGCATTTGATGTGCACGCAGGCGCAGGACGGCGTGTCTGGAATGTGTGTACTTGCCTGTGCCCGCACATGGCAGCGTCCTGGTGCACGTGCGGAGCAGGTTTCGGCTTTGAGGGCTGCTGGTCAGGATGAAGGCCCTTCGTATGCCAAGAACTGGCTACTCTAGAGATGCTGTGTCCCTGAGTGGGAAACAGGGCCATTCAAAGCCCCTGTCGTCCTGCCCGATCGCCCCCTCCCGCTGTACTTCTCTGAGGCCCTTTGTGTACCTTACACTTCAGCCAAATCACTATTTCCTCTCATGAGTGGGCTTCAAAATGTTTGTGCGGAAAAATATTTCGTTATCTTTTAACTCCTTTTGCTCACGAACTTTTTGAAGCCCTTCTGTATTGTCTGTGCTTGTCTGACTCTGTTTTCTTGGGAGCCATGTCTTCCCCTTGACTTGTAGGCCTTCCACTCTGCAAGTCCACGTGACCATTCCTTCAAGAGCAAGCAGACAGTCCGTCACACAGGGAGGCAAACTAGCCCTCGCGCCACATCCAGCTTTCAGCACGTGCCCGTGGCTCTGACGTGAAATGGGAAAAACTGAAAAGCTCTTATTCAGATAACTATGGTTTCTTTGTTTGTAAAAAGATATGTACGGCTCTCAATTACGTTTTCAGTTGTTGTGAGGAACTGGGTTGGCTCTTCCTTCTCAAAATATGCTGACCCTGGTCTATGTGATCTCGTCCGTCCATCTCAAAATGGAAAATGACTTCTCATCTTCAGAACACCCATCTCCCTCTGCTCGGCGCCTAACACTGCCTGTGTTGGAGCGTGATGACTTTTAGTCTTGTGCATCTCACCCTTAGGCCTGGAAGATCTTCTGTATGAATTTTGATATATACATATATTTGTGGTGGTGGTGGGCTTTATGGCAAAAACTCCTTTGTGTAGGAACTTAGATAATAATATGTGTGGACCATTGAGTCACACATTATCTAGTGATAACCACATCTATGCACATGTGTGCAAATACATTCAGCAAGTTTTACATGTCCACGGAAGTTCCAATATTACTGTGGGTTCTGGGGTTACAGTAATAAAGAAAGCTGAAAGATGGCAACTCTGTGTTTGCAAATACAATATCCTGTGCAAGTCGGTTTTCCTCTCTGAGGGAAGAAATTTTTATTTTCCAAAAAAAGCAAAACAAAAAACAAACCCCCCAATCGAAGTTCGTCTTGGTTGGTTACACCGAATGAGGCATTTTAGGGTGGCAGGGTGAGGTGAGGTATCTTCTCGTCTTAAATCAATCTTTTATTCTCAAAGTTGATTTGGGCATTTTTCATGAAGGAGATTAAAATAGGGACTACATATCATTTCTTTCATCCCCACACTTAGCACCAAGCCTGGAAAGCAATAGCTCTTTCAATAAATATTCAGAGAATTTTGAGAAATGTTTGTAGAGTAAAGGACACAATGTGTTAACCTAAGGAGCCCTGGTGGCCCAATGGTTAAGTGCTTGGCTACTAAACAAAAGGTGGGCAGTTCGAGCCTCGTACTGGCTCTCTGGGGATAAAAGCCTCTTGGTCTGTAACCAAGGGAACCTTAAGGGGCCTACTAAACAAAAGGTGGGCAGTTCGAGCCTCGTACTGGCTCTCTGGGGATAAAAGCCTCTTGGTCTGTAACCAAGGGAACCTTAAGGAGCAGTTTTACTGTCACCTGGAATGGATTCAACGGCACCCAGCCAGTGTTGGCATTGGCTCGGCACTTTAAGCTTGTGACGTCATTGGAGCCATTAGCCATGGTGTCATTGTGTAATGCATGTTACTCACCAAGTTCCAGTTCCCACCGTCAGATGACATCAGCGTGTGCATGTGAAGCCAGCAGAGCCACCAGTGAGACACCAAACTTGCCAGACTTGGAACTTGCATGTGACCAGCACTAGAATTAGCAGTGGCGGTTGCCCCTTCGAGTGTCAATGGTGGCCAAAGGGCTGGCCCTTGGACAAGGAGTCTGTCAGGGTTCCACATCCGGGCTGGGTCTGTACAGCCTCATGACAGCATGGCTCTGTTCAAGGTTTCTTGTGTCGTCCCTCTCTAGCAGATGGTGTCTGGTCTCTTAACTCCCAGTGAAAAGGAGAGGAAAAGACGTTGTAGTCATTCATTCATTCGTTCATTTATAGATTAAGTCCTATTGATTCCAACTCTGATTTGGAAATGCCATGAATTTGAATCCATTGCATGAATCTAACAGAAAGGTCCATGCCTTCCACGGACACAAAGCCTAGTGGACGAGTTGAATGTACAACCACAGCCTTCTGGTCCACTTGGTAGATTAAGCTGTCAAGAGACATCCTCCCCCAAACACAAAGATGTAAGAGTAGAAAAAAAATACAATAAAAAAATCTGCTGTCAGGCTGGTGCCCCCAAAGGGATCATCTCCAGGTGTCACAAAATAAAGAAGACACTCAGGGATGGAGCAAGTGACAGTGAAGAGGAATTCAGCAAAAGGTCATATGAAAATATGGGCGGTCCACGGTCACAGGAGCTGCTGTTTCAGTATTCGACAGGAAGGCTCAGAAACAGTCCCCGCACGAGGCTGTGAGCGAGAAATGGCTGGGCCAGGCATGAAATAGGGAAAAGTCTGCTAAGGATTTGCTATGGAAATCGATCAACCACCCTAGGCTAGAAAAAGAGTCACCTATAAAGACTCCGAACTTTCTGCCACCACTAGATGTGGGGATGGGGTCGGTTCTTCTCATGTGGTGCACTAACCACAAACCAAAAAGATAACATAACAGCTTGGTCTGGAACAAATTAAACTATGGGAACCTGACAAGGCTAACCCAAAACCAACTCATAAAAATATCTGAACACCCGAGGGCATGTGGGTTTCCCCCCCAAACAAATCAAAACCACAAAGCAACAACAACAACAATCTACTGCTGATGTGGCGTTTACTTTTACAAACGATCGTGCCTGCAAAGGAGAGAAAAAGCCCCCATGAGGGAGCGTCAGCACAGCGAGTCATACCTTGAAATCAAGGACATAGACCATTTTGAGAGAACACATACTAGCCTGGTGGCGTCACTGGCTATGATTAACTGCCACGCCAGCATCTACCGACCGCCCCAAGGGAGAGAGGTGAGCCCTTCGCCTCTCTAGAGACTTACAACCCCGCAAGCAGTTCTACTCTGTCCTACGGGGTTCCTAAGAGTCAGAGTAAACTTGATGGCAGTGGATGTGGGGTATACACGTGTGTTCAATGTTTCTTGGAGAAAGAGGGAGTGGAAACCAGGAGCAAAAATATACTTTAAAAAATTAAATCAAAATTTTAGAATTCAGGTTTGGGGTTACAGAAATGAAACATTCATGACCTAAGATAAATAGTCGGGAAGCACAGTCCACGAATGAGAGGAGAAGTCTGGGAGATAAAGTTGAAGTAATATGATCCTTGGAAGAGCGGACTGTGTAGCCCAGCTTACTAGGTTTGACTCCTGCCTCTAATAGCTGTCTTGTGAGTGCATTTGGGCAAGCAACTCCCTCTTTCTGTGATTTTGTTTTCTCACTTGTAAAACAGGATTGTAGTAGGCATGTTCCTCATTGGATTGCTGTGAGGATTAATTTGTCTACCACACCTGATAAAGTAATTGGAGCGTTGTTGAGCCGGATGATGCACCAGAAAGCAGAGGGGACTGATGCTTTGGGTGTTGGTGACACCACGGAAAGCACCTGGACTGACAAGGAAGACAAGCCTGTCTTGGAAGAAGTACAGCTAGAATTCTCCTTAGAAGCGAGAAGGGTGAGACTGTCTCACGCACTTAGGACAGGATGTCAAGAGAAGGGCACCCTGCTCATACAGGAGAGGGGCCGTGTAGAAGAGGAAGACCCTTGTCAAGATGGATGGCACCGTGGCTGCAACACTGACCTGTGACAAGAGTAACGGCAGTAGAGTGTTGTTCTGTTTACATTTGTCTGCCATGAGTAAGGATCAACTCGACGGCACCGACCAACAGCAGCAACAACTGGAGACTGCAGAGTTATAGCTGTCTTTGTATTCATGTGGTTATTTCTTGTTTAAAAAAACAAAACAAAAACAGACATTTTGGCAGAATAGGGAAGGATGCATATTTTAGGACTTAACTAGAATGTTCAGATCCTGTCAAATCAGACCAAGAGGTGCCCACTCAAACCTTAAGGGTATTCACCCACATGAGAGTTCCCCTCCCTAGCTTGGCAAACTGAGCTCCCCATGGCCTTACCCTTGCCAACTCTCTCGCCTTACCTTTTCTCCAAACTTATACCCTGTTTGTTTCCACAGCTGGTCTCTGATTTCCTAAACCTGCCATTCCATTTCCGTCTCCCGTACCTTTGCTCGTGTAGTTCTTCTGACCGGCTGGCCTTTGCCTCTGTTGCTCACTCTTTCATTCAAGCGTCGCTGGAAACATCCCCTCCTCCTCTTTGCCCTAGTGCACCTGGGGGCCATAGTGCTTGGACCTTGGGCTCTAGAAGGAGAAACAGATGACTAACAAATCCCTTCACGTCATTGACCGTGCCTTTAACATTGCCCACAAATGTTCTGTATGTGTGGTCCCATAAGAAGAGCTTCAAGAATTCATAGAAAAATGGTATTAAAAGGTAATGGAAATATTTCCACTTGATTTTTTAAGCC